ATTAATTGCTGCAGAAAAAGTATTTTGACAAAACCCAAAACCCTTTCTTGATTTAAAAAAAAAAAAAAAAAAAAAACTCTCAGCAACTTACACTAAAATAAACTCAAAATGGATAAAGAACTTAAACATAAGATGGGAAAACATAAAAATAGTAGAGGAATCCAGAGGCAACAAAATCTCATACATATGCCAAAGGAACTTCTTCACTGATACTGCTCCTAGAGCAATGGAAACTAAAGAGAAAATAAATAAATGGGACCACATCAAAACAAAAAGCTTTTGCACAACAAAAGAAACCATTAACAAAACAACAAGAAAGACCACTACGTGGGAGAATGTATTTGCCAATGTTATCACTGATAGGGTTTAATCTCCAACATTTACAGGGAACTCATACAACTCTACAAAAGGAAGATAAACAATCCAATCAAGAAATGGGCAATGGACCTAAATAGAAACTTTTCGAAAGAAGACAGAAGGCCAAGAAACACATGGAAACATGCTCAAAGTCACTAATTATCTGAGAGATGCAAATTAAAACGACTATGCAGTACCATCTCACACTTGTCAGAATGGCTATCATCAACAAATCAATAAATGACAAATGTTGGTGAGGATGCAGAGAAAAAGGAACCCTTGTGCACTGCTGGTGGGAATGCAGATTGTACAGCCACTGTGGAGAACAGTATGGACTTTCCTCAAAAAACTAAAAATGGAACTCCCATTTGACCCAGTGATCCCACTTCTAGGAATATGTCCCAAGAAGCTAGAAACACCAATCAAAAAGAATATATGCACCCCTGTGTTCATAGCAGCACAGTTTACCATATCTAAGATTTGGAAACAGCCTAAGTGCCCATCAATACATGAGTGCATTAAAAAACTGTGGTGCGTCTACACAATGGAATACTATATTGTGCTAAAAAAGAAGGAATTTCTACCATTTGCAACAACATTGATGGAACTGGAGAGCATTATGCTAAGTGAAATAAGCCAGTGAGAGAAAGATAAATACCACATGATCTCACTCATCTATGGGAAATAATGAACAACATAAACTAATGATCAAAAACAGATCCAGAGATAGGAAAGCATCTATCAGACTATCAAACCTGAGAGGGAAGATAGGGGAGGGGAGGGGTAAGGAAGAGAGATGAGCCAAAGGACTTGTATGCATGCATATAAGCCTAACTAGTGGACACAGACAACAGGGGGATGAGGGCAGGAGTGTGGGGGTGGGGAAGCTAATGAGGAGATGAGGACAAATACATAATACCTTAACCAATAAAGAAATTTTTAAAAATTATAGAGTTAAGCACTTGGTTAATTCTAGCTCCTTTAAGAATCAACTTCACCAAGCGCTAACATGAATGTGCTAGCTTTTATCAAAGGTTGCTTTGAGAAACGACCATAAAAAATATAGCTCCTTGTTTACCATAAAGTTGTTGTTAAGGACATTGTTTATTACATGACTCAGTGTTCATAATATAAAACATTCAAGTTAACCTCTTTGAATCTCAGTGCTAAACAAAGCTTTGCTTCTGCTGAAGACTCTTACTTTCCCCTCTGATGAAGAGCACTCCATTGGTTATGTTCACTTTTTTTACCAAGAGTTAGACCCGATGCCCCATCTCAGCACGTGTGTTCCTTGTATGGGCACCATATTTATATTCTTCTTCCCTTATACTTTATCATTTAATTTTACTTATTTGAGCTATAAACTGTGTGATGTAAAAATCACTATAAATTGAGCTGGGGCATAAATATACTACTAGTGAAATTGATAAAATACATAATCCTTCTAACTTTCGAACCTGTCAAATCTTACTCAAGATCTTCTTTTCCCATCACCTGAGAGGTTCTATTGGCTAAATTTAGATGCAGTTCATAAAATGCAGACCAGAATGCCCTCTAAGTTTCTCAAACTGGGCAAAAGTCTCAAGCACACATACAAAAGGAAAACTTGAGTACAGTAAATATAAAAGCCAAATATAAAGGAACAAATCCCAGTAGTTAGAGTGGTCCAAAGACAAGAATGGACTGCCTTATCCCTAGGAATTTGTCTTCTCGTGGGACTCTAGACCACTTTCCAATGGAGGTAAGGCAGACAGACACAAATCTAGATAACTCTCACCCAGCAACACTGCCCAGTATCCTTGCCTCTAACCAACTCAGTGTGAGAAAATGTCATTGGATTATATTGCAAGTGCTGGGGTGGGAGACTTGATGCCTAAATCTCTCTCTGGCTCTCTGTCCCCAAAATGAAGGTAAGCATTAGCTTCACTGGCTATTGGCTCTGCCAGTCTCAATGGCCACAGAACACTGTCTGCTCCATAAAGTAGCCTTGGTTTCTTTAGTGGCCATCATCCATTACAGAAATGGTAGTAGATGATCATAAGTAATCTTAGTAACAAGATGTCTGCAAAGGACAAAGAATGTTGAATCAGCAGATCTAAGAGAAAGCTTGGGAAGCTACAAAGAAGGTATTACAACATTAAAACTGGCACATGTTTCTCTAGTATCTCACCTCAATGTCAGATTCAGCTGTAGATGAGAGACCTAGCATTGATTCCAGCTGTTCTTCCATCAAGGCATGGTAATCGTCTGATGCTTACAATGATCAGAATAGTTTGTAATCTTCTGTTTTCGTAAATTGCTGAATCATATACAGTACCCATCTTTCTATTATTTTAGGCACCATACTTAGTAAAGCAGACATGTTAACTCAGCAATTGGGAAAGACTCAGGAAAGAAATTTCAGAGGACTTGCATCATCAAAGAATCATGCAGAGAACTGCCGAATAAGGTCATAGAGTGAAAAGCAACTAGACCACCTCGGACTTTAATTCTCTGAGGGTAGAAACTGTAATGACTCATTCAGACCAAAAGGGGCTCCCATGTCTGAAATCCACAATATCCTTTCAGAGTTGCAATTCTGTCCTTGGCTGAAGGAGAGGGAGCCAAGGGAGGAAGCAAGACAGGCTTTTGGCTGAGATTGAAGTGAGGAAGGGAAACTAAGGACTGAACAACTCATAAACTCCACCACCAAACCAGACCTGTGTTCAGATGGCATAAAAAATCCAAAACTGCTGTTTATAAAGCATCATCTTTTTCCATGGTTTTGCTCTTTTTCATTTTTCTTTAGCTCTATGTAAAATTTCATGATATAAAAACTCAAAAATTATAGATGTTACATAAATGATAAATTAGAAGATGATTCTCCACTTTACAACAGAATTCTTGGCTTCACAAAAGAAACAGGAATAGTGTTTTTAAAATGAGAGTATCCCTTTTTACACTTAAAATATATTTTTTTGTATTAGTCAAGGTCCCAACAGAAAATACCATACTCAAACTGGAATAATTTATTAAGCAAAATTTCTGTAGCTTAAGGATCGTTCATTGTTAACTAAATTTTTTACCTAAAGTATCTGCAATGCTATGCTAGGAGCTGGGGGAGATAATAAGTTATAAGATATTCCTTTTTAAGAGCAGATTAAAGTTTAACAGAGCTTAACGTTTTGTTAGAAAGACAAGACATAGGCAATGAAGTAGCAACAAGCACTAATACAGAATTTGTTCTAGATTTGGGGTGCATTCTGTAAAAGCATTAGGAGAAAGCAGGTGCAATGGCAACTAAAATAGACTAGGGAGATCTCATGAAAAAAAAATAAAAATAGGAAGCATATAAGGAGGACCAGATGATTATTCCAGAGGGAGAGAAGAAACAGAAGGTATACAGCCTGGGAACAAGTGTTGAAGCTCGCAAGATAGTCTGCCAACTGAAAAAGTAACTTGCGGATACAAGGCAGATCCTCAAACCTTGTGCCTCTTTTTAAACGATGGGCCATATTTTAAAGCTGAGCCATATTGTAGATCTCAATAGGTCTAAGCAACTGGAGATGACAGGCCCTTCCACCTCTGCTCACTCACATAGATCTTCCTTCAGAGGTTCTGAAGACAGATGGCTGGAGATAGAAATATTTAAAAAAGCTAACCAATAGCTACTAGTGGTGAATAGGACAAGATTTTACCTATTGACTAGACCAGTGGTCAACAGAGCGAAATATCAACAGGACAATGATTGAAATTTCTTTTGAGAGCCAAATTTTTTTTTTTTAACTAAAACTTCTTCTAACGCCATTTCTTCAAAATAGACTCACCCAAGCAGTGATATTTTGTGGAAGAGCCACACTCAAGGGGCCAAAGAGCCACATGTGGCTCAGCAGCCTCAGTTTGCCAACCACAGGACTAGACAGATGCAAAAAAGCAGCCTTGCTTTTCACCAGTTATTATTGTCTTCCTTGTTTCCTCTAGCAACCAAATCACCCCTGAGGGCAGTTCACAGCAAGTTTCCTGGTGACAGTTCACAAAGATTAACTTTAGAAGTTCTTAATTCAATTGTGTGTGGATTGAAGAAACGCTAGGTTTGACAATCCACAAAATGTTTTTCCATTACCTATGACATCCATTTTATACTTATTTATGTTTGTCCCAATCAAGTACCATTCTGTACAAATTCAAATGAGTCCTTATTGACTAAATAATTTTTTAAAATTACATAATCAAAGTTGTCCCATTAAAAACACTGTCTGATGCTTCTTGGCCCTCGGTGCTCTAGGGGGAAAGAAAAAAAAAAAAAAGTAAAGAAAACGTTTTGACCTAGAAATCAGTAATAAACAAGCCAAACCAATATGCATACAAATGGGAGGGTGACAATGTAACTAGTCACTGTCTTTGTTTCTCCTTTCTTGCCTCACTCCACACCAATTTTTTGGAAGTAGCCCTGCCTCTGCCAGTAAAGGCAAGGGTGACCTAGAAATCTGTGGTATTCCCAGTTACTGACCTCACTGAAAGAGAGTAGGTAGGGACACCACAAAATGGTTAAAGGAGCACCTAATCATAAAGGCATCCAGTCCTCCCCCTCCCCCGCTCCCCAGTAAAAAGGTTATGTGACTCACCAGGGTAAAGATCAAACCTCCATCTTCCTTTCCACAAAGATGTAGTCATGTAGGAAACTGGTTGGAACTAAGAGCACCCAGAAGGGATGGAGATTTTAATGCTTTATATAGCAAGGTAAGATCTTGACTATTGATGAATTCTTGTGCTTTTCTTTCTATCCTGAAATATTTTCTATTTTTCATTCCCATTGTCCTCAGCCTGGCTGCACACAAAAAAAATCATCTGGAAAGCTTTTTAAAAATGCTGACTCCTGTACCCTACCTCAGCCACTGCGGTAGCTGAAAGTAGGAGAGTCAGAATAAAATGATGGGGTCATGTCACAAACACAGGAGCCAGTTTGACCAAATCAGGGTCTCTGAGGGTGGAGCCTACGCACTGTTAGTTGTGCAAACTCTCAAGGTGAGTCCAAGGTTTATTCATTGTTTGGTACCAGTGTAGTCGGAGGGCTCACTTGGTGTAAATGGGCATCACCTGAGCATGGTGGTTGCTGGTGAAAATGAGCACAGAGCACGCTGGTGTGTTGCTAGAAGGATACCTGAGGTTGTGGTTGGTCCCAGGAGAAAAATGGACTGTAAATAATGCTACTATGAGTAACCTATGGTGTGCATATTTTTGTATTACTAAAGGTGTGCTCATGAGTATTGAATGGTTATCTTCCCCAAAAATTCACACCCAATGAGGCCTCAGAGTGGTGATGAGGTCATGAGGGCAGTGCCCTAATGAATGGGATTGGTGCTCTTATAAATGAGACACCAAGGTCTCTATAGCCCCTCTCACGTGAGGATACAGATGTCTGTCCTGACTAGACCAGGCTGTACCCTGAACTCAGACTTCCAGTCTCCAGAACTGTGAGAAATAAGTTTCTATTGTTCATAAGCCACCCTGCCTGACTAAGATTGATACATTCCTAAAAGTGAAACTGCTAGATTAAAGGGTAAAAGCATATGTAGCTTTGTTACATGTTGCCAGATTTCTCATCATAGCAATGTATAAGACTATTTTCCCACACACTTACATCAGAGTATAATATCAAGCTTTCAAATGTTTGCCAATATGATAGATAAGAAACAGCTCAGTGAAGTTTTAATTTTCATATGTCATTTTATAAATGGTTAAACATGTTTTTTTATGAATCATTCGTTCATGTTTTTTGCCCATATTTTTATAGGATTTTGGCCTTTTTGCTCATTTTTTTCCTCTAATTTTGTTTATTTGAGATAAAATTTACATTCAGTTGAATGCACAGGACTGGAGTGCCTATGTCAATGAGTTTTCACCAATATATTCATACATCTATATTATCACAACTCAGCAAGATACAGAACATTTCTATCCCTTCTGAAACTTTTCTCAAACTCCCTTCCAGTCAAACCCCACATAAGCAACCACAGTTTTGACCTAAATCATATGGTATATACTCTTGTATCTGATTGCTCTTGCTCAAAATAATTTTTTGAGTTCCATCCACATTGTTATAGAAGTCACTCATTCCTTTTAATTTTAGTGTATAATTCAATGTCATTTACTGCATTCACCTTGTTGTGCAACCATCACCTCTATGTAGTTCCAAGAGAAATTTCATTATCCGAAAAGAAAACTCTGTGTTTATTAAATAGTCACTCCCTACCCTCCCCTTCTCCAGCCCCTGGGAACTACCAATCTGCACTTACTTATTCTGAACATTTCACATAAATGGAATCATACCATATGTGACCTTTTGCCTGCCTTATTTCCCTCAGCATAATGTTTTCCAGCTTCATCTGCATTGCAGCATGTATCAGAACTTCATTCTCCTATGTCTGGCTAATATTCCATTGTATGTCCATGCCACATTTTATTTATCTGCTGATTGGTTGATAGATATTTGTGTCCACCTTTTGGCTATTGTGAATAGTGCTGCTATGAACATGTGTGTACAAGTGTTTGTTTAAGTACCTGTTTTTGAATTTTGTTGGGTATATACCTAGGAGTGGAACTACAGTGGTAATTCTGTGTTTAACTTTTTAAAGAGTCACCACACTGCTTTCCACAGAGACTGCATCATCTTCCATCATACCAGCAATGTGCAAGGGTTCTAATTTCTCCAAATCCTTGCCAGCAGTACTCATTCTTACCACTGCTAGTATGCCATTACATAAACATATCACAATTTGTTCATGTATTTTCTTGTAAATGGACATTTGCAATACTTGGCTCTTTTGAATAGAGGTACTCTGCATATCATGTACAGTCTTTTTGAGCACATATGCTTTCATTTATCTTTGGTAAATAGCCAAGGTTAGAATTGCTGGCTCATAGTATATGTATATTTATGTTTAACTTTATCAAAAATTGCTTTGCAGTTTTCTGAAGTAGTTGAACCATTTTATAGTCCTACTAGAGGCCCAGTGCATGATATTTGTACACTAGTGGGGTGGGGTGTTGTCCCTCAGCCCAGCCTACACCCTCTCGCAGTATGGGACCCCTCGGAGGATGTCCACCTAAGCCAACAGACAGACTTTCCCTGAGGGGTCCTTAGCACTGCTGTGGAGGCAAGAGAGGTTCCCACCACCACTGCTTTATTCACCCATGAACTCAGTTTTTGGCTGAGCAGTGCTCCCCCTATGGGAGCACACTGACCACAGGGGCAGCTTCTGTGTTGAGAGTCTGCCCCTGGTGGTCAATGTGCATCATAGCAACCAGGTATTTCACCATTTAGTCGATTTGCATATTAGGGTTTTATTGGCCCAGTGCATGAAATTTATGCACGGGTAAAGTCCCTAAGCCTGGCCAACATACAGGGCTGATCTGGGCCTTCCATCTGCCTGCCAGGGCCTTCCTGCATTCCGCACTGCCTCATGGTGGTCAGTGCATGTCTTAGCGAGCAATCAAACTCTTGGTCTCTCAAACTCTGGAAGGGACACTTTGAATATTAGTCATTTATTTATATAGATCAGGAATGTATGATAGTTCTCAATTCTTCATGCCTGTACCATAGCCAACATTTAGTGTTGTCAATCTTTTCAATTTTAGCCATTCTAGTTAGCATGGAATTTTATCTATGGTATCTCATTGTGTCTTTAAAATACATTTCCTTAAAGACAAAAAATGTTGAGCATCAATTCTTCTGCACATTGGTCATTTGATATCTTTTGTGAAGTGTGAGTTCAAGTTTGACCATATGTAATGGATTGATTTTTTGTTTGTTTGTTTTTGATTTGTAGTAGTTCTTTGTATTTAAATATTTCTTAAATGTACATATTGCAAATATATTTTTCAAGTCTATAGATTGTCTTTTTATTTTCTTAAAGGTGTGTTTTGATAATCAGGAGTCTTCAATTTTGATGAAGTCCAAAATTTTTTTGTGTGTGTGTGTGATTAGTGCTTTTTCTGTCCTATTTAGGAAATCTTTACTTACCCTAATTTTGTGAAGATATTCTCCAATGTTTTTAAAGAAGCTTTTTAAGTTTTAACATTTTTGTTTGCCTATGATCCATCTCTAATTTTTATTTTTGAGTATAGTATAAGATAGTATTGATATACCTTTTTTTCATAAAATTATACATTTACCCCAGCACCACTTGTTGAAAAAACTTTCTTTTCCTCTTTAAATAGCCTGGGTACCTTTGGAAGGAAAATCAACTGACCACATATATAGAGAGATCTATTTCTGACTTCTCTTCTGGTCTATTGACCTCTTTATCTAACTCTCCTTATACCAATATCAAGTTGTCTTGAGTACTGCAGCCTAATAGTATCTTGAAATTAGGTCAAGTGAAGCCTCTAACTTTTCTTTTCTTTTACAAGATTATTTTAACTATTCTAGATCCTTTGATTTCCCATCTAAGTTTAGAATCAGCTTTCAATTTCTTTTTTAAAAAAAATAAACCTTATTGGTATTCTGGTTAATATTTACACTCAATTTATACTTGAATTGAGGGAAAATTCACATCTTAATAATATAGAATTTTCAATCCATGAATATTGCACATCTTTCTATTTATTTGGGTTTTCTTAAATGTTTTTAACAGCATGTTGTAGTTTTCAGTGTTGAACTTTTGCACTTATTTTATTGTTTATTCCTGAGAATTTTGTTTTTAATGCTTTATCAATGGCTCACCTTTTGTTTTTAATTATTTACTACTAATATGTAGAAATAAAATTGTTTTTTAATATTGATTTTATATACTGAATTCTTCCTAAATTCACTTATTAATTCTACTAGTTATCTTGTAAATTCCTTAGAATTTTCTCTGTAAGCATAATTTCTCCTCTGCATGAAACAATTTTACATATTATCTCATCCTTGTGACTTTTATTTGTTTATTTATTTTGTATTTCACTAGGTAGTTTCTCAAGTACTAAAGGAACGGTAAGAGCCAGCATTCTCTTATTATTCCCTATCTTAGGGAGAAAGCGTTCAGTTTCACCACTAAATATGATGTCAGCTGTTAAGTTTTAGAAGATATTCTTTATAAGATTGAGGAACTTCCTTTCTATTGTTACTTTGCTGAGAGTTTTAAGTCATGAATGGATGTTGAATAATGTCAAATGTTTGTTCTTAATTTATTAAAATTATTTTTCTCTATATTTTCTTGACATTGTGAACTACATTGATTGACTTTAGAATCTTAAACCTTTGCATTCCTTGGAAAACATACCAGATCAAGATATATTCTCAAAAAACATATGTTGCTGGATTATATTGGCTGATATTTTGTTAAGGATTTTTGTACCTCTTTCATTCAGGATAATGGACTGATTTTATTTGCTTGCAATATTTTTGTCCAATTTTGATAACAGGATAATGCTGGCTTCATAGAATGATATAGAAAGTAGTCCCTTCATATCTATTTTCTGAAAGATACTGTATTAAATTGATAATAGTTACTTCTTAAGTTATTAATATACTTGACCAGTGGAACTATCTTATTTATGAGAAGAACATTTTATTTATGAAAAAGTTTTTTATAATAAACTCAATGTATTTTAACAAATATGGAACTACTCATATATTTTTTATTTCTTCTCATGTTAGTTTAGTAAATTTCACTTTCAAGAAGTGTTTCTTGTTTATCTAAATTGTCAAATTTTACTTGTCTAAAGTTGTCCATAATATCCCTTCTCACATTGTAACAATTGTCTCAGAAATTTTTACAGCTCTTATAAATCTGACATATCATATTGTTCTAATTGCACAGTACAGTAATTTTTATATGTATTGGTTTTCATTTCCACAGTTAGATTCTAGGCTTCTTAAGTAAAGGGACTATTTCTGAATCTGCCTTTGACTCACACCTTACCTAAGATGAATAAAATTGGATCTGAGTCTTTAAAGGTAAAAATGAGTTTGTTGGGAAGACAAAATAGGGGATGGATGACAGAACATCTGGGAATGACATGGGCAAAAGTGTAGAGGCATGAAAAAGGGTGATATTATAAGATGTATCAACTGTGGGAGTGTGGTTTCAGGAGAAGGTATCTAGGAAAAACCTTTGACATAGGAGAGCATTGGCCTGAATGTGGCATGAGCTATGTAAGCCTTAGAGGAGAGGAAGAGGAAGAAAAACCTCTTATGTCCCCCCCTCCCTCACAATTTTACCTAAAAGTGACTGATTGTAAATATTTTCAATAATTTTTTTAGCTTTTTCAAAAAACCTTTA